AAATTAATATAAAATATTTCGGAAAAATTAAAAGCAAAAATCATTTCGAGAAAATTTAAATAAAATATTTCGGGAAGATAAAAAAAAATATTTCGAACAAATTAAAAAAAAAATATTTCGAAAAAAATTACAAAAATACAAAAAATAATTATTGGGTAAACATTTATCACATATTTATTTATGAAATGTTTAGTAAAAAGGAGAAACAAATTTTATATTAAATGTTATATATCTGTCTCTTATACACATCTAGATGTGTATAAGAGAAAAATTACAAAAATATGCGAACATTAAAAAAGTAAGCAAATTAGAACAAAAAATAATAATTAAAATAAAAAAAATTAATTATAATTTAAAAAAATTACGAAATTAAAAACAATTAAAAAAGTAAGCACAAAATAATATATAAATTTCAAAAAAAAATTAACAAAAGTAAAGCATTAAAAAGACAAAGGAAATCAAAAGAAAATTTTAAACAAGAAGTTCGACAAAAATTGCAACAATAAAAAATCAAACTGAACAAAAAATTAGAACTATTAACAAAAAACAAACATAAAAAGTGAAAGAGATATATATAAAGAGATAAAAAATAAACATGTTCACATAAAAAATAAACAAAAAATATTAAAAAGTTATGTTTAAAGTTGTTTATGTACATATGTGTGTGTATTTGCAGGTCTTTGCAGTATTTTCTGCTGCTTTTGAGAAGAGAATTCACTTTTCACAGTTCTTTGTTGTTGTAGCAGTTATTTATAGGTTTATTTAGTTATCGTTTCGCCTTTTTGTATTTGTTTTGTCTTTAAGAACTAAAACTATTTAACAATTTCTTTAAGCAATGCTGTTCCCAAACAATTACAATACCCATATAAACATAATAATATATATGTATGTATATGTATAATAATATTTAGATTAATCATAATCATAATAATAATAATAATAGTGATAAGCATATTTAGAACATTTTAATTACATAAATTTAAAAAGGTAATTTAAGCATAAACACAGAAATTGCAATTAAACATTTATTTATTTTTATATGTATGTATGTATAGTATGTGTGTGTTTGTAGCTTAAGCAATTGAATTGTGTATATTTTTTGCTTTTTTCCAGTTTTCTGTTTTGTATTTTTTATTTCGGAAATTTTTATTTCATTTTAATTTCTTGCTTTTAATTAATTACAAATGATTACAAGCAGCTTTACGGTTATAAGTCGCATAGTGTTCGTCGTCGCTTGCATTTCGTGTTTTAGTTAAGATTTTTTACTTTTTAATTTACATTCTACATGCATATACATAAGTATTTTATTAATTTATTTCATTTAAGACAAATTACCAGTTTCCCGTTACGCTTGTTTCATCTTAAGATTTACAGTTGTTTTCAAACACATACATATATTATATTTAATTATTTTACTTTCTTTTTACATTTCATTTTCGTCATTATTTCGTTTGCCTAGTGTACTAAAACGCTACTGCCACACACACAGCTCGCCACTGACCACACGCGCCTCACGCCAGCAGTCTATTAATTTACTCATTGATTTATGTCGTTTTCTAATTTGTTGTTGTTTTTATACCGTTTTTCGATTTTACTATTTTTCTTCAATTGAATAACTTTTTTTTTGTTAAAATTTAACTAGTTAATTAACTGTAGCTAATTGTAAAAGAGTATGACTATTTTATTCCCACTGCTTAGTTGGTATGTGTTTATGTGTGTGTGAGTGAAGGTTTGACTGTCTTATCTAATAAGCACCACCGCTGAATTGATTTGGATTGTAGAATTGTGGCACCTGGAATTATATGAAAACAGGATTTAAAAAAATTTTATTAAAAATATGCTTTACGTATTAAATTATTAGGGAAAAAATATATATTTTTATATGAAAAAAATATTTTACAAAACAC